TATATGGGGGGTGGGGGGCGGGGGGAAGACGGGCGGGAGAGAGGTCACAGGCCAAATTTTCTAACATGATTTGGAAACATCGTCTTCCTATCTGATTCCAACCAGTCTATATTTCATTCATAATGTTTATTAAGATGCCATTGGGAAACAAGCGTATAATTCTTAGATGTTTTAAATCTACTTTGCAGATTCACCATAAACTATTCCTATCCATTCCAGATTTTCTATAAGAATATTTCTCTACCACTACATGAACTATTTTAGATTTTCTGAAAGGGCTATTTTCAAATTAAAAATTGCAAATGTGTAATTAACATTTTGAAGTTAAAAATGAAAATATCCCAAAGGATAGCTGTTGGTAAGGTATTTCTTACTTCTTTAGTGATGTAGCCATCTTTGTTTATGTCATACAAATTAAATGCCCAGTTGAGTTTTTCTTGTACTGTCCCCCGGAGCAAAATGGAAAGACCCCTGATGAAATCCTAAAAAGAAATAAAAAATACAATTTGATATGACATTTCTAAAAAAGCCAAATACAATTCTCCCTTATATGATGGAAGCAAGGGTTACAACCCACTGGATTTTGAACCATTTATTTAGCAACATTATCTCTGTGTTCTTGGTTATTTCCTCTTTGTGAACATAATCCACTCCGTAGAGATAACATTCCCATCATCTAATTGAAAACTGTGACTTAAATCAATCTTGGAATTGGAAATTGTATCAGAACAGACACCCACAAACAGCAAGATGCATGCTAGAAGTGGTATTGGCTTTTCCCTGCAAGGGCATGCAATTCTTACACAAACAAAAAAAAACAACAACAACAAAACAAAAAACAACAACTAATAACACTGTATGTTTCAAAATACAAACACATGCATAACACTCTTCCCATGAAAAACATCTGTTAACAAGATATGAGGACTGTCTTTAGAATTCGGGCCAATTGTGACCTGTATATAGAAATCAAGTTATAATGTGCATGTGGGCAGTGGTTATGAGCATGGAGCCGGAAGCCAGACTGCCTGAATTCAAATGGCAGCTATGTCACTGGTTGGCTCTGTGTTCTCAAACATCCTGTTGTCTCAATTTTTATATCTGTGGAATGGAGATTATAGCATCTACCTCTTAAAGTTGAGGGTATATCTAGGGGTTGAGGTACAATTTCAGATCAACTTTGTCAGTTTTGTTATCGGGAAAGTTGGGGTAACTTTCCTCACTAAGTGCTGGAGGTGAGGTCATACCCATTCTGGCCAATGACCTCTGCCCCCAGCTGTGACTGACAGACAAGTACCTTTGCTAGTTCCCCCAACTTTACTGGGCATGCATTTGTCTATCTCCCCTTTGTCAAACCCCTGGGGAGTGTAAAGCTTCAACTTCCTGGCAAAGCTGCCAAAATAACATGCCTATAATATTTGGCCCTCCCTTTGCTCTTTGCTGTATTAATAACTAGTTAATTACAAAGGCATCAATTTGACAAAGTGCTTGAGATGAGCTCAAGCACTTACCTCAGAGCTGTAGAATCCCTTTCCCTTGTTCATGTCATTTTTGTCATTGAGCCTATTGGTTTCCTATTGCTGCTGTAACAAACTCCCACTCAGTGGCTCTCAGGACTGGGTCAGGAGCCTCTTATTTGCCGTCATTAGCTGGAGTTTTCACCTTGGGCCAGTTACACGGAAAGATCACTTAAGTAATAGATTTGAAGTGCACAAAATAGAAGCACCGCAAAGTTAACAGCCGTGAGACCCGGCTGGCGCCTCTACCCATTAACCGAGAGGTCACAGTTAGATTCCCAGTCAGGGCACATGCCCGGGTTGAGGGCTCGATCCCCAGTAGGGGGCATGCAAGAGGCAGCCGATCAATGATTCTCATCTTTGATGTTTCTATCTCTCCCTCTCCTTCTCCCTTCCTCTCTGAAATCAATAAAAATATATATTTTAAAAA